ACAGGAATATTGATCAACGCTCACATATTCTCTTGCGTTCCAATTGTCAGACTTACAGTTGCTTGGAGTGGCGGCATCGAACCTGTTCCTTATGGAGTCCTCAAAGCGGCAAGCAGGTCCTATGCACCCGATGCTGCTTTTGTGGGCACAGCGGTGTCTGTCGTGTCTCTGTTTTGAGTCGTGCGCAAGGTACGGCTGCACGGCGTGTTAACAACATGTAAATGCAGATGCGATGGACCCTTGCGTGTGTGATTGCAAATTGATCCTTGGAAGCTCAATAGGAGCTGTCTAAGCCGAAGCAGCCAACGGATTGCTTGCTTGCGAACAAGTTCCGGGACGAAGCGGCAGTGGTCGAAAGTTGGCAGTGAAAGTGGCAGACTCGGTAGACTGCAGGTTTTGCAATTGCTCTTTCTTACAGCGGCACCGATTCATGTAACCGTCGCTCGTGGTGAATGGATTCAGTACGTGAGGCTTGGCTCAAAATGCGTTCTCAAGCTGCAGCACATGCCAGCATGCCTTCAAAACTCACCGGCGACGATGCGTCTGGCGGAATGCGGCATATTTGTCAGCACATGCTATTGACCTATACATCGTAACCAGTCTACAGCTGCACAAGACTCTGGCTAGGCTATTTCGTAAGTCAAGGCTTAGGAGTGAGGTCATAGTCGATCTGAAAGCCATGTCGACAGCCTCCGGAACTGACTCGTACCAGACGGTCACTGACCAGTCAGAAAGTGACGACGACGACCCCAACACCTGGGGTCAGAAGTCACAGAGGCGAGGCTGCAGGCGCGCGGGGACATGCCCCGGCCAATCTAAGGGTCACGGCCTTGCGTTGCCCTTGCACACCAGCCATTGTGGCCCTAGCTGCATGCATGGGAAAGGTGTCCACCCTTCTGCACTGCCAGTCGGGTTTGCCATGTCTGCTACGCAGCTCGGAGGAAAACGATGAAGGTTGTGACTTTGTTGTTGAACATCCGAACTTCATGTAATAAACAGAGATCCTTGACTTTGATGCTTACGAACCGAAAGCTCCCTGACAGATATGCCAGCTTTGCTTGTACTTACTTGTCTTCCCGCTCTGGACGAAGTGGCTGGTAACCAGCCCGATGCCAACCCGGTATTGGCACCAGGCCGGGCAACGTTGTGACTTGAGATGTGCTCTTTGCAAAGCTCAGGAGACAGGAACGAAAGGCCTTGGCCCTTGGCTTTGCTGTCAGGACTTCCCCGACTGGCCCGTGATCTCCTCGGCTGCGGGTCGGTCCATCGCCCTGGAAGCGCCGGCAAGAGCCATCGACATGACGCCCTTGCCAATGGACTCGCGCAGCTGCACCTTGGCACGAGCTTGTGGGTTCGAAAAGATTTCTGACGTGACTCGGCTGCATGGGCTCTGTGCTGCAGTCGGATCACCATGATCGTTCCAAGGCAACTATTCCTGCTTGTCAAGCGTTGCTGCCTCCGACACCGCTTCGGTTGGCTTTCAGGTGGGTCCATCGAATTGTTGATGCCATCTAGGCCTAGGCCTAGCCCCATCCTTTCTGTTGGAACCGACATCTCAATGTTCACAGGAGAGTGCCGACTGTCAGAGAATGTCAGAATTTCGCGAGGTTGGTCTCACGTTGAATGACCCGGAGTTGATCAAGCAGAAGGTCTATGCAGTGTATCCGGTTCTTCTAGCATCTGAAAACTTTCGCGACTGGTGGGTCGCTGCCGACAAGAGACATGCCCATCCAACTCCGTTCTGGAGATCACGAACAGCTGCCGAGATGGGCCTTTACACCTACGTGTCTGAGGATGCTTGGCCACAGCAGAGGAAAGCAATGCTGTTAAGTTCAGGCATAGATACTTGTTGCCGTGAAGGGACGGACCTGAAACCATGCGAGGCGACGTAGGCTTGCCGGTTCCCTCGATGTCTTTCTGATGTCGCTGGCAGTTAGGACCAATGTTGCAGAAAAGCAGACTCCCAGGTAGCTTCAAACAAAGTCTGATTCTTTCTCGACGGTTTCACATGTGTTAAGACTCATAGCCGAGGCATGCACCAAGCCACCGGAGAAGCGGACGGACATGTCAGAGGCGCATTGAAGTATTGCAAAACTGGCATGTCCAAATCGCGAGACTCGCGAGACATCAACCCGACTTGCAGGTCCTTGGAGGTGTCTACATCCTCGCATGCGTCACGTGGAGGCGGGTAAGCTTCCAAAGGAAAGACAGTCGGCAGTCGAAGTCCATATTCCTGCTTCCACTTCGTCAGTCCCGACAGCTTCAAGAAGCTCTCAGCTGCCACGACACTGAAGCTTGGCCAACATGAGCTTGACGGTGCGGAGAGTCGTCGGCACAGTACCTAGACCACCGCCAAACCCCTGACGCATCTCAGGACCATGGATGAAGTCGGCTCCTTCTGTAGCTCAGCGGGCGGCGTGTGTGGATGGAGCGCGCTTGCGGCAGTTCCCGGTTTGCCCTGCACCCCGCCATAGGCTGGCCTGGCAGTAAGAAAGTTCGAAGAACTGCTGTCGCATCGCAGTGCTTCGAAGAGTCGGAGGGCAGAACTGCCAGAAGGTAGAAAGCTGTAGACGCCGTAGATTCCTGAAATTCCCGCTTGGAGCTGTGAGGAGCTGCGGGGCGGAGGTGCCCTCGGAGCGTCTCCCGGGCTGCGTGGACCACCGACACTTGGCCAAGACATCGGCCCTTGGCTCACAGCAACGCTGCACAGCAACGCAGCAACGCAGCAACGCTGAGCTGCGGAGACCTGAATGTACAAGGGTCTGACGCGCGTTCGCACTGCGAAGGCATTGCCATGACCTCCGACAGCGTTGCAGGGCTCTTCGTCTCCGATGCAAATTTCAAGGGCAAGGTCGAGATCCAGGAGAAGCCGGGGTGAGGGAAAACCTGCGGATCTCAATGTCAGCTGGCTTATTTCAACCTTTCAGTATGCGACCACATGCGCCATTGCTGCGCAGGAATGCTCGCAGGGAAAATGGGATCATGGTTCGTGCATGACCACGCCGAACAACTTTCAGCACTGGCAGTGTGGTCGACTCAACTTTGGTCGGCTTGCAGACTTTCCCGGCTTTCAGCACTCGATGAAGCACTGAGGTCAGGAGTGCCGCTACGACCCAAATCCTGTTGGAAGTGACATGGACATCGGGTTGGATGACTCCGCAGAGCGTGAACGCACCTTGCATGCATAGAACACATGCCCGCAAGCCGCCGTGCATGCAGCAGACTGGACAGAGCAGGCAGGGCAGCATGTGGTATCATGCGACAAGCCGTGCTGTGCCACGGAGCCTTTCGTGACATGTGATTTGTATTTGCGCCTGGCAGTCTGGTTTGTGTTCTGGCTCTTAGCATAAGAAGCGTTGAGTTGTTTGATTGGTCGCGTGCTTCCCTCAAGGCATCTACACCTCGCTGCCACGCTTTAAAGTTATGCTCACCGACGTGGAATCTCCGGATGGAGATGTGTTCAACCAACCACGGATTTTCCTCTTGAGCTCAACGGCCGGATCCTTACAGCGTGTGAAAGCGGGAAGTTTCCGTCGGCTCATGCGTGCAGGTCAAGCAGACCGGCATCTGGAAGAAGTTGTACATGCCAGACACGGGCAAGTTCACTCTTCCCGAGCCGGTCGCAACTCCCACGAAGTCGCCTGATGATATGGAAGATGAGGCCGTCGCCCCGGCAGCGGCCAACAGCAGAAACTTCCTACATAGAGCATGCGATGCGCGATGCTAAGGACGGTTCCACCGTTACCGAGGCTTACACGAAGCAGGCAGGAGGGAAGAGTGTGAGCACCTTCCTCCGTACACTAGCAGGGTCAGAACTATGTCCAAACGACTTTAACGCACGTCTGTCGTAAGCACAGGTTGAGTTAAAACGGCATTTTGAGGCTTGGACGTTTCAGGGCTTCGCAGGAGCGCGGCGAACCCCAACCCCCTCGGTGCAAGCAACACATTTTTGGAGAACGGTGAGACAACCCGAACACTAAGTTTGCGGACGGTCCGTTGAGGGGGATGCGGGATGATGGTTGAAGTGACATCACCCGCTGAGTGCGTGTACAAGACGACAAGTAACTGAGAGAACTTCGCAGAATGCTACCATGGCATGTTACCATGGGTTGTGAACTGTGCAGGCTATGGTGTTGATGGAACCAAGTCGTTTGAACATTGATCCGGATTGGTGCTTCGGACAGCAAGGACCAGCCTTGACGCAATTTCGCCACAGTTGGAGTACCGGGTATCATCTTGTCAGGACCCTTGTACCTCGTGGCCTGTGCCGTGAATGCCAGCCTTTACGAGGATCCGAATTTCGAGAACTTTACCCAAGGCGTGACTTAAACACTCCAAAATGTGAATGTGGTCAGCCGTTCCAGGGCTCGTTCGAAGGCCAGCGAGTGGCTCCGCCGCCCTTCAACGACCGCTGCGTGGCCGTGTCGGGGCGATGTGGCGGCGCGTGCCAGTCGTGGGACACGGAGGATCTGAAAAGGCACAGAGAGGCTAAGAAAAATTTGCTTTGCCGATCTGACGGTTTTTGATGCCAGTTGCACTGACGACGGCTACATTGTACAGTCTGCACTGGTGCAGCATATTCCTCCGTTGCTTTGCTGCAAGATCCTGCAAGTGCAGCAGTGAGTACAGAGTGACGCGTCATGCAGCAGATGACTCGAGGCAGAAGAACGAAGAGATGGCGGTTTGGGTGTTTGCTTTCCTGCTACTGCCGGATCCTCTTGGCTTGGCGTCTGTTGGAGACAGCATTTTCAGTGTACTTGTTCAGGCTGGGCTTTGCGGTGAAGGTGGGAGTGCTCTGCCCCGGCATCTTCCGATCCTACAAACACTACCGCAGGCGCAGCGATCGCGCAGTTTGCATAGATTTGCATCGTGCAAATCACTGTTCAACCACGAGCTTCTAATTCTAGGGAATTCTAGGGCCCCAGCCAAACAGTACCAGTAACATTGCGGAGCAGGGCCTTCCGTGGCCGCTAAGGATTCTTCTGCTTCTGGATGAGCAAATCAAACATAGACCCAGTACGCCAATACTGTCCACCACTCAAGCACGGGGGGAGGTTTCCAAAGTTGCAAGCTTGAGGCCTGGACTGTTAAGAAACCAAATGGGCAGTCGGCCTTTGGATTTGGTGTGCGTGAGCATCGACGAATGTCATCATTGAGCTCACGATTTAAGATTTGAAGAATTGAGTCTCGTGTCATAGAGCGACAAGAGCTATGAGTGGATGAAAATCATTTAAAAGAAGCCGAACAGTAGTTTTATTTTGCGGCGCAGGATCCGTTGACAGGCAATGCTTTTGCTTCACAGATTCATAGACATGTGACAAAGGGGAGCTTTTGTGGCCGAGGCATGGTTTGCCTTGAGGAAAAGTCTGGAATCCAAAGTGCCGCGGGAACATTGAATCGGTCTTGCATGTTGGGACTGCCTTTAAGTGGACTATGAGTGTTCCTTGAAGTTTTTGAAGTGGTTGCAGTTTTATGGTTTTTGGCACCGAGTTAAATCAAGAATATGCTCATAAACTATCGGCTTGGCAGGATGCAGACTATAGGGATCAGTCGCGTCGTTCGATAGAGCAATCATGATCGGTCGATGCCGTGGCAATTTTGGCTCCAGGCGATCGCCCGGGTTTTTCTTCGTGAGCTTTTCAGCCTAGGCCTCGAGCGTGGTGGATCATCTTGGCAGATTCTCTCCCAGTCCAGGTTCAGCCTTCCACGGTGGATTCCAAAGGAGAACCCCGAAGATGCCCAGCTCGTGATCACGATCGCTGCTTTTGACCAACTCGCGACGATCGGCTCCTGAGCTGAAGGACGCGATCATCTCCAATGCAGTGAGCTCCATTAACGTTCTCAGGGAAAGGGAGCAAGTGATGCCCCTTGTTTGTTTTCTGCATGTCGTCTGTTCCGAGCTGCACCAGGGATTGGAAGAAAACAGATCTGCTATTCAGGATGGCTTCCTCAACAGATGGTTGGGATAGCCTGGGATAGCAGAGGGACATGGGCTACTTGTGTCGTGGGAGGATTGCCCACATCGGGTGCACCAGCAGTGCAGCCTCGCTCGGGGACTTTGGAAGAGGCTGGGGCCGAAGCATGAGCCTACCGGGCTCCGCCCGCCTGGTCCTAACGCCCGATGCCGCGATCTCTCTCTTAGATAGCAGGGCCCTGCTCGCTCATCTATTGCTTTGTCAGTAAGTATAGGGGCGCTGACTGCACAGCCTGCAGCCCCCTTTCTGCTGGTTTTGTGCGCTTGCAAGGTCAAGCCTCTTGTAGCGACAGCTCATAAGTAGATGTTGCTACCACCTGCAGCGTATCTCCTTCATGAGATCCCCTGCCCATTGACCGGCTGACTATGTGGGTCAGGATGCGTTGGTCTGTCATTCGCACGCTGAGGGCGCTGCTCGCCCGGTTTCCGCAAGCCAGACAATCCGGAGACCGCCAGGAGACTTCCGCTCAAGAACTTCGTCGGACTCTAATTAATAATTGGTTCCGTTGCCCGAGATCGAAGATGGTGGGGTCGAGGAGCGCACTCCCATCATCCGCCGATTAAGATGAGCTCATGTAAGGGACGTTCCGATCGCCGATTAAGATGAGCTCATGTAAGGGACGTTCCGATGTGACGGACGGTTTCTCGCACCTCTGCTGCGGCCAATCCTCCAGGTGCTCAATGCTCGCAGCGAAAGGAGCAGTCCCACGCACTTGACGAAGGCCAGCTCACTCGAGGGGCAGAGGCAGGCAAAGCTCTGTGCCCGGCGATCATCTGCCCCTTTCGTACGAGCTCGCATGTACCTTCTCGGAAGTACATCGTGCAAACGTTTTGCGAGTTGTTCTTTTTGCCCCGACCGGAGACCATTCGCCAGGAGTTCGTCTCTGCGGTGTCTGTAGAGACAATTCATGAACTCTCACAATGACTGCGGGCAATAATCGATGGATTCCCAGCAAAAGGTTCGACGTCGTCCAAACGAGACGTTGAGAGCACGGGCCAAAATGGCCAATAGTGGTCACTGAAAACTTGAGTTCCCCCGAATGACACCAATGTGGCGGCGATCAAGTGGCTGCGTTGAGAGGCACGGGCAAGTGCCGATTCGCTTGTTCATTGTAGTGACTATAGTTTTTTTGCAGCGATGATAAGTATGGGTTTGAGTTTCCGAAATTGCTCAGCGGCATTTGCCCTCACTGAAAACATTCACCTTTCGCTCAGCGGTCCGTACGATGCCAAAGTTGCAGCCGTGTTCGGACCACGCGATTCCGGGTGTGACTTACGATCTGTCCAAGTTCTTAATGAAGATCAAGTAGTCTGACGTGGCGAGCGCTCGCCTGGCCATGCAGGAAAGCTGCGGGGCAGGCTGATGTTCGGAGCTATTTGGATTTATTTCCAGCTTCGGGTTTTGCACTGCGTCAATGGACTGTGTTCGTCTGAAAAAACAACCTCAGCCCATCCCCAGACTGGTCCCAGAAGATTGATCATGTGATACTTGCGGATGGTCAACCAGTTCGAACGGCGATGGCTTCCCGAGCGAAAATTATCAGAGGCGGGGGGAGGCAGTTTTTTTCGGGACGCAGCTCCTCGGCGGTTCAATCGTTAATTGTGGCGAGGTGGGTTTCGTGGATAAACTCGAATCTGCATTATCGATTTTGGGCTGTGGTTGCCTGGGCCGAGATTAGAGAGGCCACTTGCAGGGAGCACTCTTCCTGATTTTTGTCGGTTCTGAGCCGGTTGAAGTGGCTTACTCGGCTAAAACAAGATGTTTGCGAGCAGATAGTAATTTGTAGGGATCCCGCTATTGGATCGGGTTTTGACCGACTCACGTTCATCAGATACTGCCTCGGAGCTTGACGTATATGGGGGCAAGACGGACGGATGAACAGTTTGATTTTTACATAATTCATAAAGTTTCTGATGGGTCCGAACTACGAATGATTGAAAGAACGCAACCAGCCCCTGAACCAGAGATTACATCATAAACCAGGGCATGAGAAATTGCGCGCTTCAGAAATTGCGCATCGGCAACCAGTGCGGTCGGAAACAGCATCGGAAGCCCGAGCTGCGCATCGGAAACTGAGCAAAGGAAGCCGATGATAAAGGCAGCGAAGTCCACATACTCAAAATATGAAATATGTGATTGTTCGGTCAAGATTGGCTCCAGGAATCCAAAAAGAATCGCACATCCACCAAATTTTATTGGTTATCTGGATGGAATTGAGGATGGAGTAAAGTGAGTAAAGGCCACAAGCTGGGTTTTGCAAGCTGCGCGAATCATCTGCTACGCAGGGCCGCCTTAGTCCTCGAGCATGCAAAAGTATCTGCGGTTTGTGAGCAGTTCTTCTGGCTATACTGGCTATTTGCCGAGAAAACGATGATGCAAAACGGTGCATCTCGTGCCATTCAGAGCTCTGGTTTTGCTTGAAAGACATTGCTTTTTTCTGTGAAGTCCGCACCGTTCGTGCGAGGTACGATCCGGAGCTGACCCAGCAGCTGCGTGCATGCCTTAGTTTCCTGCATGCTCGCTGTTTTGGTGCTCCTGCCACAGTCCTCTGGTGTATGATGCTGATTCCTCGATGAGGCTACATCGTTGTGGCTGTGACTACAAAAGACGAGCCTCCCAGCATCGTCCTGCGGAGCTTGATCGGTGACTCGTTGCAGATTCCCGTTCCATGCTTGCCAATGTTGTCGCCTGGCATATCGTCTGATGCAGAATCCTAGGTGCCGTCAGTGCGTTGCCGTCCGACTGTGCTTGCCGATACCATGTTGCGCTTCTTGATGAAGGCTTCATGGCTCCTTTTGCGACAGTAACAATTACAACACCTCTTTCAAGTTGCTGACTTTCAAGTGAAGGACAGTGCGCCTGACATGCATTGACCTTGGTCGATTGTCTATTCTCTGTGGTCTTGCAGGCCACCGCGCGCAGCAGAAGGTGCTTTGGACGAAGATCTGCGAGATTTTGCAGGCCATCCCATCAGGACGGGCTCGGCTAAACATGCACGACTGCAGCCGCTGTGCCTTTTCGCGCCCTTCTAGTTTCTCGAACTAGCGGAGACAACACCTTGAGTGACACATGCTGGGCAGGATCCGGCTTTCAGTCCTACGAAGAGAGCGTGCGGCAATTCTTCCATGTTTGGGTCGCCTGCGCCTAAGCAACTCGAGATGTGGGATCAAGCAAGACTGCTGGATGGAAGAATGCTCAATCTCCTAAGCGCCACAGGAAGAGACCAACAAGATGACATTTGAAGACCTGCGACGCAGCTTTTACGGAGACAAGTCGCAGGCTACCCTAGACAAGCTCAGCGGGGAGGCAGCCAGCGACGCACTGACGAACGCCCTTCCGAGTCTCGCTGATCCGGGAGGAAGTGCTAAAGAAGCTTCGGAAAGCGTGGGGCTGGCAGCGAGTCAGCTGTACCGCGCTGGAATCCGCCGGGCTCTTTTGCTACCGCATGTTGCGTTCTCTTCACTGGCTGAGCTTGAGGCACTAGCTTCCCTCAAAGACGAGCTCCTTGCTCCAGGCAGTTTCGGCTTGTTCGGGGCTTGCATGCCAGTCAAGTCTAAACCGAGCTTTCGCGTCCTTCAGGGCCACACAAGAACAAGTCCTATTTGGATGACCTGGTGGACTGGATGCCAGCAGACGAAAACAGCACCTCATCTGCTAGCCTGTCTTCTTGCCACATGCTGCCAGTTCTGGCAGTGGAAGAACTGCGTCGACACTCCGAGGCATCGCCCTGCGCCTGCACTACCTGGCCAGGGCGAGTCCTCCGGAGGAGCCGAAGACGTGATCTTTCTCAAGTTCTCAAGTGTTTAGTGATTTACTGGCGTATGCTGTGAGCGGTGGGGATAGTTACGGCTGCGGAGCTCCAGCTCACAGGGAGAGCCACGTCCTTGTTTTCCCAGCCCTTCACGAGAAGAAGGACCGGACATCAAGCACTTTCACCACCCCACCCGTACCATCACCGAATGCGAACGCCTTGTCACTCTGGTGCATCGTAACCCCGCGAACTAGCGTCAACCTGCACCAAATTCTTTCCACGATCAGCCTGCTCCGTCCAACAGTAAACTCCCTGACCCGCTCCGACAACCGGATGCGTCGGTTGCACCCGGCATCGCACCTCGATCCTGAACGAGGAGCAAGTCAGAGCATATATAGCCTTGTTGGCACATTTGTGTGCAGGATGAACGCACCTTGAAGACGCAGCATGTGGCTCCCGGAACGTGGTACTATGAGGCCGCAAACGAGTTTTCTTCCGAAAGACAAGCAACAGCTGTAGTGACAAGCAATACCAGTAGCAGGCAGCATGCCAGCCTGTGCAGCCGTGTGAGGTTCCACAGGGCACTGGAAACGACCAGTGGCTGGCTTGCCGGTCTAAAGCCATGCAGATGCTGCATGGTGCCTTCGGCGCATTCTGTCTGTCGGAAGTATCACAGAGTCGAGGTGGAACAGCGTGTCAGGTCTCGAGGAGGTAGATACCAGCAAGCTGCAGATCGCACTGCGTCCCAGTCGCGGGAAACCAGGACCCGAGATCTGTGGGAGCTATGTGAGAGCCAGAGCACTGCCACATGTGAATCTGTGGCCTGGTCGAGGCGGTCTGAACTTCGCCGCCAATTATTTTTTTGTTTATGCTGGCCGAGCCCGGAATCTTTACGGTGATGACCGGGAGCCCTGATGCATTTCAGAGCAGCGCTCATTCGTGTTCTTTCGTGTTGAAGATTTCCCATTCCTCCGTGACAAGGACTTGCAGCCGGCCCTGTTCAGTGTCTGCGATGCACGGCATCAGTTTCAGACGGAAGCTTGGCACGGGGCAAGATGGAGCCCCACCGAGGATATGCTGTCGGGTTGTCTATCAGACATTGAACACATGTGCTGGCCCATGGTGTGGGAGAGTCACCAAGGACTTTTACCATTCTACGATTCCGTACTTCTTTGACCTCTACGCAAACCTGAGCAGGAACGTTCGCTTTTGCCAGTGCCTCCAGGGGCATTCAGTGTGCACGCGCTCCGCTGAAGAACTTGCTGCAGCTCTAAGCTTTGCAGATGCCAGAGATGTCGCCAGAGGTGCCCGAAATATTTTCCGCATGTACAGGATCGGGCCGATTATTTAGACTCTTGTCAGAAAAACCCTCCGGCAATGGAATCATCATTTTTGTTCAAGTTGTCCTGGCTTGTCAATGGGCTCACTGTATCCCAGGACAACAACGATGCCCAGTATTTCCGCTTGAATTGCATGATCCACAACTGCTGCGGTGGCGTCGCTAGCTTGCAGAGCAGCTGAACAATTTGGGTTCCAGCAACTCATTGTGCTGCCCGCATACGCTGGTCGGAGGTCAGCGCCAGCAGCACCAACAGCACGTGGCTTTTAAATCGCAAAGAGCCGGAAGAACACGATGCTCTCATCTGGGAGCTGGAGAAATCTCGAGTTCGCGACCGGCGGACCAAGCGAAAACATAAGGACGGGAAATGGGAAGAGATGGAGGCTGTCAGTGCGCAACCCGTTGTTGCAGACGATCGCACGGCGGTCAGGAGTACATTGAATTTCTCACTTTCCCCGAGAACTGTGCTGCAGAAGATGCCGCCCTCAGCTTAAAACAGAAGCTTGGACAGCAGAGGTGAGGAGCGATGTGCAAGCTCGCGTCGAGTCAAGTCTGCTTTCACGTTCCGAGGATGGTGGGAGGCAACCGATCCCACTTCATTAGTCTCTCGATCTGCAATCTGATTCTCTTGACATCCAGCTCTAGCGGTCCCAAGAACTTTCACGGAGCTGGTTTTGGTTATCATGCTTGGTTACACCACGATATTTCTAGGCAGGCGGCTGTCCTATGGTTGCTGGGCTGCACTCGAGAAAGAGTGTGCCGGCACGTAAGCAGCGCTGAGCCTGTCTTGAGTTGCCGAGGCCTTGCGCTGACTCCAGAGGAACATCTGATTGCGGTGCAGAAGAGTATTCAGGCTAACTTTGTCCTCTCGCTCCAGAGCTTCTTCCGCTGTCAATCAGGCTGGCCGTTCAAACTTGATTCTGCGGCCCCTGCCATGTTGCTAGATTCGGTACGCTGAACACACTTGACTTAGCCCTCTCAAGGCATCATCAATCCCAGCCTTGTGCGTCTCCGGGTTCATAGCGAAGTGTCTGTTTGGCTGCACCAGGTTTGGTGTCCCTTTGGACGACGTTCCTCGCTTTTGCTTGCTTCCTGACGTCGCTTTTTTGGAGACTCGGCTGGAAGGGAAGCAGGTTGGGTATTCCGAGCGCTGGCAACTTTGAGGCTTGTGACAAAGGCCGACCTCGAATGGGAGGCCAACTTCTTGGATCTGCTGTGCTGTGGCGCTCCGTTTCTGAGCGGCCTTGGACAGGTCGTGAATTGGGGTTGGCTTCCCAAGGATGCCTACAGAACGGTCATGCAGCCGGTCAGGACCGGCAACCCACTTCGATCAAGCATCCCGTCCTTGTCTGGTGGTTCAATGCTTCCGAAGCCTTTTCCACACGGAAAATGGACCGAGCACCTCACAAACTTGGAGTTTCCACAGCATAGCTAGCACACTAGACTAAGATTCCGCGAATCACACATTACTTCTGATGTCCCATGCATGTGATATTTGTCTGGTGCTTTATTCATCAAGCAGCAAAGCCTCCATCATACTGCAGAAATCATGGCCGAATGCTTGGCCTGTCTCGCTCTTGGGGCGTCTTGGGATGCGCACGAACATCCTGAAACTGAGTACCTTGCGTCATGCTCCTGGATTTTTGGAGGCCTTACATCTTTCATTTCAGTACTGGCATTCCAGTTCCAGAGCTTGGGCTTGTAGGGGAACATCTGTGGGCTGAAGCCGCAGCTGCCACGAAGCTTCCAGAAGCTGCGGCGCATCAGCTCTGACGCCAAACGGCCGATGTATCCCGAAGCCTGAATTTTGCATTAGCTTGAAAGAATGGGAGGATGCCGGGCGGGGTTTTATCGGTGGGACGGGAGGGGTGGAGGGGGAGCGAGGGCGATGATCCGTTTAGCTCATTGTATAATAATACGACTATAGCCCAATACAATCTTACATAACATGATGGACTACTCTCTTGTAATGCTGTTTACTGTATGATGTTGTGACATACTCTATAATCTTGTATGTACTGTATTGCAAGAAAGAAAAATGCAACGCACATCAACAGAACAGTATATGTTTCAGCCTAATAGATCTTCTGATAATGCAATGGTAGTTTGTTCGATCGAACATAGTTTATAACAATACAACTTATTATGATATAACATGCAGTATCAGGTAAAACCAAGTCAGATCATATCAACTCACATCCTTCACATAATACCAAATAATATCAAGCAGTATCTCAGAACATGGTGTCGTCAAGATTGCATACCATGCATCTCCCGAAACATAGAAGGGCAGCATCTCATCCCATATCGCGTCATATCATATTATATCACATCATATCAACTCAGGTCATAACATATCATGGCGAATAATGTCACACAGTATCTCACAAGATGGTATAATGTCACACAGAATCATCATGTATTGTCCGTATTTTACGGTGTCGTAGATTTTCATTTTGTGCCATGTAATATTCTGGTATATCCTCGCATAACAAAAGACAGGACGATGAAACGTCATATAATATCAAAGTGTACCATGATACAGTATCATAGCAATACAGCATAACCGCAACTTTTAGATACTATAGCGCAAGGTTGTACAACACAACACCTTTTTAAGACATCACTGTTACTTCTTTAACTAGAGTAAAATACGCATGTAGTATCAGAATAAAACAATAAGGTTGTTGGGTTTCGGGCTCGTCGTTCAAGGGTTTAGGGCTTAATTAGCGTTTCTTGGGTTTGGGGCCTAGGGGTTCTTGGGTTTGAGGCTTGGGGCTCTTGGGCAAAAGGGCTTAGGGCTCCTGGGACTGGTAGGGCTTGGGGCTCCTGGGTGTAGGCTTCAGGGCCAAGGTTGTTGGATTGAGGGCTTAGCGTTTTCGTTTGGGTTTAGGACTTCGGCGATTCGGGTTCTTGGGTCTACTGCTTACTTGGTGTTCTTGCGTTTAGGGTTTAGCTGCGTTTAGGGTTGAGGGCGTGGCGTTCTTGTGCTAGGCTCCTTAGATTTTTCAGGGCTTAGTGGGGGCTAGGGTTCTTGGGTTTGGAGCTCAGGGCTCTTACGTGGTTTAGGGCTTCGGGCTCTTGTAGATAATGAATTAGCCTAGTGCAGCCGAGGAAAGAAGAGCCCAGCATAGCACAAAGTTTTGAATGTAACGAAGGAGATACTGGGCAAAGAGTGTCCCGACATCCGGCAAAAAACCTGACACTGCAGCGTCAGCGTCTGACACCTGTGTCAGGATATTCGTATATTGTATACATGTAGATGTATGTATGTATGTATGCATGCATGCATGTATGTGAGTGTGAGTAGGTGCGTACAGCTCTACTTCAGACAGCAAGACTCGTAATGTTTGTGTTAAGTAGCCATGAACTTGCATTGGACCTGGCACTCGGTCCAAACAGTCTGCACTCGTGGCACCCATAAATGACCATGTTCAACTCGGCATGAGTGATTGCGGTTCATCTCTTGCGACAGATTGCATCAGGAATCGAGCATAGGAAGTGTCAAAAGAAGATGTGTAGCAGGGAGAGTCAGCTCGTCGCAGTGATTGAGGTTTCAGGCGCAGGTGCAAACATATCAAGTGTCCTGTGGTCAATCAGCGTGCCCAACCAATGTTCACATCATTCACGAAAAGGAAAATATGGGAGTGGCACATGCATTGCAGACTGAGGAACACGTGAATATGTTCGACCACTTGCAACGTAGACGTTTGTTAGTTTCTTGTGTTGATGATCTTGTGCGTGTGTGTGCGTGCAACTTTGAAGTGTAGGACATAACATAGCGGGCTGTGCCAATGAGCCGTTCAGCTGAAGGAAGTGCAGCATAAGGCATATCCATCCAGAAAGATTTTGCTAATGCAGAGGATGATACTCAGCGAGAACTGGCTCCAACGCTGTGCTAGCTCAGCTAAGATCAGCTGGACGACGTACTGCAGGTCAATAAAGGCAGGCAGATACCTTGCAAACAGCGTCAACGAAACGAGTTTTTCAGGAAGTTCTGTGCGATACAGCAGTGCAGGTGAGGACCCGAGCCAAGCATCGAACATCCATGCTGCAAGAGGTGGCATCGGCTTGTGACTATTTTGAACACAAGACATGCAACGGAAACACTACTTTGTTCATGTCGCTGCGTTACCTGAGAGGATGACTTACGTGAGCGCATGTGTTGTGGGTGGTACAGGAGCTGGAGCCAAGACGCCGCAGAGGTTTTGAACCGCTTCGTTGGCTACGACGAGGAATGGCTCCAGAGCATCTTGTTGAAACTTTTTTTGTTTTGTCCAACCACTCATCATCTCCATTGTACTACGATCAAAAGCCGCTTGGGCAAAATCGAAGTTCCCTTCTGTGTGTCTTTTCGAGGCTTCATCGTTATCACGCTACAAATTGCAGCCGCGGCCTCGACGCGACACTCCGCGAGCCTCCGCGAGAGTGAGCGGAGAGCTGTGCTTTTCCGCTGACACCGTTGATCATGGCATCCACGTGCGAGGTTTGGGTGGCGAGTTTGGGAGCATGGCTCCTACTGATCGCCGTCGTTACGCAGACTTGCAAGGTGATTCAGCGATGCTGTGGCTTGGCTTAGCGGCGTAGCTAGCCTCCGTTGGTGAAGATGGCGTTTGTAAAGCATACGCTGCACGCTGGCGCAACTTTAGTACAGGAACGGGGGTTCAACGCTGGCTCATTGCATCCCCCTGTGTGACTGTGTGTTTATGTGTGCTGGACAAAGCATTTCGGATTGCAGCTGTTTTGGAGGGCCTCCGATTCGTGCTCTTCCGTCTCGATAAGTTTTGAGATTGCTTATCGGTCCACTGTGATATTTTGCTTTCCCTCCCAGCATGCTTCCACTTGCGTGTGAATCGCTTCAAATTGCATTCAGTGTACCTAGACATGGTTTCTGGATGCTTGGATTGACTTCGCCTGTGTCGTGTCGTGTTCCTCGCTTACTGTTTGGGAAACGGAAGATGGAAGAACAACTTCGAGGTTGTGTTCTAGTCACTAGTCACACATGGTTTTGTTTGATACCAGGACTTGAACTCGCTTTACGCATCTTTATGCATTTGCACTCACCTGCCCGATCCTGTGGCGAGTTTTGGGACGCTGACAGGCTTGAACTGCGGATCGATCTGGCCCGATGAAATGAGATGGTGGGGCAGGCTCGATGAAATGGTCTCATCGATTGCACCTATCCGTGCAAACTGGCAGTGGGCAATCCAGGCTGCTTATCCTGGTATCCAACCTCTCGCACTTCCTTTGGTGTTGGGTGCCTTTCTTCTGGATAGGCTACGGCCTTATACCGCAGAGTCTGAAGACTGCGTCAGTTGCCGTTCCAATGAAGGCTTCAACTTCTACAATGTTTTCAGCGGCAGTGCTGCGGCAGAAGAGTTGCAGACGTACCACTGTCATCGGATGTCGCTGAATGTCGGGGCTGTGGCACAGGCATAGTTGCACGGGTCTTGATTTCGGGAACTATGGCACCCGTGTAGCTGAGGAGATTTCCATTATCCGCCACTCTTAATGTTTGTCTTCACGCTCCTGCTTCAGGCACAGCTGCTAGATTCAGTTTTACATTGCACGTGAGCAGCTTGAAGCTTGGAGGTCCTGAATTGGGGCCTTATCGGTGCCAGCTGCATGCGCCATTCTCTGGAAGCAAGCATGGAGGCGAACGAGGTCGTACTTCGGACAGCGAAAAGCGCTGAGCGCAGCGGCAAGATCGTGAACCGGTGTTACTCGTAGCTCAGTTTATTGGCTCAATTGTGAAAATCTCTCCACCTAGGCCATGCTGACCATTGACAACATCTGGAGGTCTACGCAGAGAGACCTGGCCGGAATCAACACGCACCACGACAAACAGCCCACAGACCAACGCACGATGAAGACCCTGCCAGTCCTGGTGTGCACCCTTCAGGGTCAAGGGCAGAGTCCAGGAAGTTGCAGGTAGTTGGATTATGGAAATTGGAAAGGGGACGACATAGCAGCTCATCTGTGAGGCGGGAGAAGTGTTGGGGTCCAGGCTAAATTTTTTTTTCCGACGCCTTCGGCACCACTTGAAACCAAGTTGAGCCTGTTGCTTCTGGTAACAGCAGTAAGGACGATAACTCCATCGCGGCCCTAGCTTGTGTCGTCCACCAAACAAGAACGATGACGACTGTCCAAACATCCGTCAGGAATTGGATGGTGGCTAGCAGTGTAAGAGATTGTCCGTCTAACACATCAATCGCGTTCCCTCCACAGTCAACGGTATATTATATCCTCCGGGGAGGCCGAGTCCGTTGTTACGCCCGTTGCTGTCCTGGACTTGATGGCTGGCGCTCCTGCCGTGCTCCTGCCAGCAAGGCCACACCATGAGGCTGTTGGGGGCTCCAGTGTCAGACTGCCTGACACGGAAACCTCCAAAAATCGTGCTCATGCCATTGTCTCGCGGATGCGCATTCCCGCTGCAGTGGGGCGCACTGGAATGACGGTCGTGCGCCCGCCATAATTTGCAGCACATTTGGGACTGCTGGCGTTGTGAGCCTCATGGCGCGCCTGGAACGTTTCCTGGGCTCTGCGCTTCTGACAAGCTTAGGGAGCTTGCAATCAGAGATGCGTGCAAGTCTTACAAGGATACTATATCACTGCCCCGCTGGTGATTTACTCGATGGTGGAGGGCCTTCAAGATTTGATGAACTTCCAGCTCTATGGCCAGGACGTGACAGTCACTGCCTGAGTTTCTCGTTGAGAGGGTCGTTTCAGCGAGTCGAGAGTCGGACTTGAGGTTAATGAGGCATCGGGAAAGATCGCTGTCCACCTAGTGAAATACTGGACCCTCTTGCTGGAGATCCTTGCGATAGCTGCCTGGATCTGCTTTTACAACGTCAAGCCGACGCAAGATGAAGGCAGGGCTTGGCCTGGCATGTTTTGCTGCGTCTTGCCGCGTCTTCTCCTGCGGAGAGGCGGGCTGTCCTCGCTGATCATCGTGACGGTCATTGCGCTGGATGTGCTGCATCCCTGCGCTTATCTCTGGGTCGGCGAGACGAAAATGACGCCGGCAAAGGCGAATTCTCTCTCTTGGTACCAGGCCAGCGGGGGAGGTCCGGTGGCCTTGCGTGGCATTATCAGATGGTTGCCATTGGTGGTGCAGAGCGACGCGAGCACTGTCTGTCGGAAGACCCTGCCCAACATGCCTAGCCCCAAAGCCTGCAGATGGGCTTCCCCCAGTTTGGCAGGCATTGACGACTTGGGAATGGTGGGAGCGTCTGATTCATGATTTGGTCCTGAATGAGCTAGCCTCCTGCCGTGCATTCAGTTTCGGGACCGGGGCACGGCAAGTGCGCCAGTGGTGTCTTTCGCAAGGTTACCGGCGTATTGAAGTGGCTGGGACCTGCATGGATGATTGCCATGCCTTTGCTGACGCTGTTGATGCCGTACATTGGGGTGAACCAAGCCTCTTGTCTTCCTATAGCATGCCCTACCGGTGGACAGCGCCCAGTAGCTAAGTGTCCCATGCCCGCCTCTGTCCCCTGCGCTACGTCCATCCATCTGTCCGGGCATGAATTGAAATCCAACGGCCGTGTGCCCCGTGTGTGCGCTGCCACGCCTAAGGCCTTCATGCTGGTTGCCACTGTGCAAAATCGTTGACATTGTCCATCCGACCACGCGCCAAGAAACAGATGCACAGTTACTGCCATGTGCTGCATCAGACTTTTGTATCTGGAGGCTCATGTATTCTTTAGGTCGCGGGCAGTCAATGCACAGGAGGCCTTGAACATGTCGCTGTTTAACACGTGTAATCTCAGATGCGCAGTCGTCTAGAGTTCCTTGTAGGAACACCAGACTGGAAATTGAACTGTCGCTTAGGGATTCTGAGTGCCGGGCATCCGGGTTCTTGTTGAAGGTGCTCTGCGATTGCTCAAAGGTTGCTACAGAGTTGTAGAAAGGACAGCAGCAAGTTGCGCGTTACCACTTGAAGTTTACAGCCTGCACCTCACCCTCCCAAATCGGTCGGGTTGACGCTAGGCAGGATGTGCAAGTTTCCGACATCACAGTCTGGCTCAAACTTGTCCACTGTGCCAAGTCTGTTTGCAAAGACGCCATTTGTATGTCTACATGTTTTATTGCTACTATACGCGCTGGACCTGAGCCATTATGTAGCCTACTGCATGGGTGTGCTTCGCGGCGATAGCTAAGCTTGTTGCCATATAGGAGTTGCATTTTATTCCTTGAGACTGCGATCGCCATGCCACGGCTGGTGGGTGATGCCGCGAGGGTCGTGGACACTGGAAAGCTGTTCCTGGACAGAACCCTTCCAGGTTGAACCGCTTCGATCGCTCTGTGATTCTTGTGGTTCCAGAATTTTACTTCCGTGTGTTTTCGCAGACAGTGATCCCTTTCCCATGCCATGTCCGTTCGACTTTCACGTGGGCGCAAGCAGAGCAATCCACAGATTCTCCATCCAACCAAAAGCAGCATGTTAGGCTGGGGTCTGAACGGTAAGCCAGAATGTTGGCTAAAGCCAGAGTCCACCAGGATCTGGGCATTGGGGTCTGGCGGGGCGAGGGGAACGGGCCGCGGCCTGTTGGGTTGGGTGGTGTTTGTGTTGTTCTGTGGGCAAAACCTGTCCACGCGCCCCGACATTCCGGAGCAGATGATGTAAGCGATGACAAAGAGTGCCTATCAGCAAGTGAGTATCCAGTGCAGACAGCGATCGCCAACCAGCAGCATAAAGCTGGAACCACAACAAGGCTCGACAGACACCCGACATATCCCGACATTGTACAGCTGCTTCTCAGATGGTGTGGTCGGGAATGTGGCGAGAGGACAGCGCACGGGGCTAGGCTTGATACACCGAGAGAGCATCCACCATGCACAAGACTCCAGCTTGTCAGGAGCGAGCAAACTCCAAGCATGGTTGGCCAACCAAGTCCAAGACTTCAGCTAGTAAAGGCTGAGTCAACAAAGCTAGTTGCATGCTGAGGCGTTGTAGCTTGTTAGTATTCGTTCTGGATCAGTGATGATGATTGATGGATCTTGATTCTCCAGCGCACAGTTTCCTCCCCGATTCGAGTGTGGAAGGGAAAGGATGAGGACGGTAACGAGGACAGAAGAACGAGCAAGTCTCAGAAGATGATCCGAACGAGCTGCATGAGACCTTGCGTATGACATGATCAGGATAGCTGATAGTCATGATGGTAATGACGACGACGACAATGATGTCGCGGATTGTGATTCCATTTGTTCTGTTCTTTTTGCTCTTCTACCGTTCGCACAAGCCAAACATGCAGACACGGCACGCAGGAAGGAGTTGACACTTGGTATGGTGTTGGAAACAGCAGGGACGGAAACAGTCCAAAGTCACAGGTTGATGAAGACTGCGAAGCGTAATGAGTAACGTAATGCGCGTCCCATGCCACCTGCCACGCACAACACCTGAATCGCACAGCCGTTATGCACCCTTTATATCTGATTGAGCCTGTGCCACAACATGTGTCCCATGTTGAATCCTGAAGTCGGGCACCCCGACATCTTGTCTTGGGTGTTTTTGAGAGCACGGAAATCCCGGTCACAAGAATTTTGTCTGAGGATAGTTGGGTGTTTCGCCTGCTCTTCTTCTTCTTCTTTTGCGCGGTTTTGTGGAGGCCTGGAAACTCCCAAATAAGAAGCGCAGCCCCTTGTGTGTCCTGTTTTGCCCGAATATGACGCATATTATCGATGACATGGACTCATTGCAAACGTAGTTCAAACCTTCGAACCATCTACATGTACGTTTCCAGTCTCCAAAGTTCAATGTTACCTGTCAGTGTTGGATAATGGGAGCATATTCTGAAAGAAGCTGATGTCGTGTGCTCTTTGTTTTCAGTTGACTTAGCGCAGCGTCTCATTATGTCAGGCAGCTAGGATGACAGGAATTGGTGGTCCAGACACTGACAGGAATTCAAAAACGAATGGATAGGAATGCAAACACGGAAGGATCAGCTGCTTCGCAGGGAGCACCGAATTAACGTTGCACGCGAAGGACACGTGTTGTACATACCGTATGATCAGGCTTCGGCTGCATGCTCTAGACAGAGACAGTGCAGTGGTTTTGAACTGCGTCAGTTGTCCAAGGACCATCGACGAGTTGGCAGGGAATGTCGCAAGCAAAAGCGACCGAATCAGCATTGCACTGGTCAAGGTGGGATGTCTACTGAAATGAAGATGAAGCGGGATGTAGGATGATTGCTTTCGTGAGCTTGACCTGAAAGCACAACCAGCCCCAACAACATCTCGAGCTGCGACAGCATGCAACCAAGACATGGGTCGCCTTATGCAGTCTATAACATGCTTTGCTTTTCCAGGTAGCGGAGCCCACTAGTGAGCCCTGGCTGACACTGCACTACGACGAGTGGATGTGTGCCGCGCCGGCTGCAAGCAGCCGTCGCCATGCCGTCGTTAGCGGGTCTTCGCTTCGCTGTGCCTTTGAGGTGCTGAAAGGCCGCCTGGCCTGAGCCCTTGGCCGGGGGGGTTCTTGTGTTTTGAGCAGTGGGGCCAGTGCTAGCACGCCTTGGAGATTTGCGGCTGTATCGCCGGTAGGGACAAGTCGAGGATATTCTCCAGACAGCCTTGCCATGCCTTGCCTGCAAGGTCTTGCTGCATGGATCTGGTGAGAGTCTGGAGGCGCACTGCCGCACAGCAGCCCCCTTCATGCAGAGACCAAACCCAGAAGGCGGTCAAAACCAGATTTCTATATCAGGACTGTCTTTCTGCCTCATTGCCAGTTCCGGCCACGGACAATGAATGTTATGTGCTGTTCCACCTGCATGCCCTTCATTGCCGCTTTCCAACCAAGACTAACATGTCTGGTGTCCGGCAACTTAATCTCCTTCCTTCAGCGTGCATTTCCTAATTCTCCATTCGACATTTTCTGAAATTCAGAAGCATCCACTGTATAGCCATTGTGGAAAGCATACTTCCTAAAGAGCTTGCTGTCAATAGCGGGCAAGCTTGGTTTCACGTTCGGAGTCAAAGCATGCAATGGCTACAGCAGCAAATTCACTTACGTTCGTTATCGTTCATTTTGCTTAGCATAGGCAAAAACAAGTGGGCATGCAAGAGATGTCGCAGCTCAAACTCATCTGAATCTGAGCAGGTGGGTGTATGCTGCGAATGATGAGCCGCATGATAGCTGCATGTAATCTAAATGGACAGGAGAGAATGCAAGCAAAGTAGCCGTGCAACAACTACAGAAACGTCAACAGACTACAAGCATAGCTGCTCTAGAGTTCAACATGTTAAACAATGCGTTTCCACCCGGTTGTAAGAAAATGGACAAGGGCAAGTACAGCAATGCTTTCAAACTGAATAGTTGACTATTGCCCATTGCCGGCAAGGTGCCAGTTAAGCCATGTCAACCTGATGACATCACGATACCCTGCTGGCAGGTCCAAGCAGGCCAAACAGTCTTCATCGAGAAAGGCAGACTTGGAGACTCCACGAGCCTTCCAAGACTAGTGGCATCTAGACTCATGTACATTGCAGGGGAGCGGTTCCGGCCGACTTTCCCGGATGGTGCCACAGAGTATATCCCGGCAGCTTGTCTTCGAAGCTTGGAGTGGTGCAGATCCTGTGGCACAAGCTCAGCAAAACGAGGTCTGTCTTCCAGCTTTCCGCCCGGACCGCTGTATCCGCGAGGAGGCAGAAGGTGGGAAGCCCAGGCTTCCTTCTGAGGAGACACGTCGCAGCGGCCAAGGTGCAGTCAGCGTGAGACTGGAGCAGCTGCACGGAGGACGCCCCGCACATCCATGCACTGCCTACAGTCAGTGCACCGTTGCCAAGTGTCAATCAGACGATGTCCTGGTAGCCCAGTACAAAGCAGCATCTGGTTTACAACGTTTATGCCTCCCAAAGTAAGTCTCACTTCAATTTCGGTACACGGCCTCGGTTGCACGGCCTCAGTTGGCCTTCGCAAAGATTGAGTTGTCGCAAGGGTTGGTCTACCAATCTGATCTGGCAGGTTTGCTGTCTTGTGGGCCGCGTGAAACTTCAATTTATGTGTCCGATTGTGCGAAAAGCCTGTGCAGGCCGTGGCCTTGTTGGGAAGTGACAGCAACGGGTGTTTGGCAATCAGCGAAGAGCCTCGACAGTCCTTGGAGCGTGAGGCGCCGAACGACTGCAAACACTGCGATGTCCACCGTGGACTGGGAGGGGAGTGAGTTTCCCTTTGCTGTTCGCATCTGTTCGCGGAGACCTCTCGAAGTCCGTCATGGCTCGGCGGCTCGCATGTCGGTTCTTGCGATCAAGCGATGCTGTCTTCAGACTTCTGGGAAGAGAGAGAGACAGAGAGAGAGAGAGAGAGAGAGAGAGAGAAGGGGCGCTGCCTTTCTGGTGCATGAGGATTTCACCTTTCGCTCCCCACATGTCGGGGGCGCTAACGCGCGCGGGTGAAGGGGGCTTGTTCTCCCTTACCCCTAGCCCTGGCGAAAGAAAGAAGGGGTGCGCCTCACGGCGCGGGGTGCCTGACCAGCACCTTACGCCCCGGAGAATAGAATAGAATAGAGAAAGAGAGAGAGAGAGAGAGAGAGAGAGATGAACCAACGTACAGACAAACCCGTTTGTCAAAAGGATGGATGGGGACGCGCTGCGGCGCGAGTTGGGGGGGTACCCCTGACTTTTACCCCGAGCAAGGCAAAGCAAAGAGAGATGAACATGGTTGAACAGCGTACAGCCAATCTTCAAATTGACAAAGTCGAGGTAGCGTTTCGGGAGACCCGCCCGTTCGTATCCTGTCGGTTCACGAGTTCCATCCTTCAACCGACGAAGCACGCGAACAAATACTGGACGGAGCCCGGCGGGCCTTTATTATTGTTTTTGTTTCTCCCTCCGCCCCGCCCGCGCGCATTATTATGTTTTCCCCGGTCTCAAAATACTAATAGTGCGTGCTGCCAGCCCTCGTTCCCAGTCCCATCATAACACTACTGCCTGCAAGGGGAGGCTCAAACACTGCCCTTCCCCAACCCTCCCCTCCCTGCTTGCCAACCACCCAGCCCTTCCCCGCCCCCCTTCCACGCCTCACTTGCCACCCCCCCCCTTTGTTCTCCGGCAGTCACTTTCATGCTTTTTGGCTCGAATGTTCTGGTTGTGTGCAATGGCTTCTAAAGTGGGCTCCCTGTGTCCCGGCTGCAGGCCTGTCGCTTGTAACTTCTCGCCCCTGCGACAATGGCAGTCTGGAAGCGGAGGGGACCAAACGGCGCTGGTGTGCACAAGGCCGATTCGCCCGATGGGTCTACTGCCTCCCTTGTCACCGGCTTCAGCTCGGCGAGGCGCGCCGCCTGGTATCGGGCGACACAAAACCACGGCATCTGCCTGACAGGACTGCCGAACCAACGGTGGTGCGTACGTGGCGGCAAAAAGCTTGATGGCCGCAAGCTTTACATCACGACCCCGCCGCCGGAGCTTTGGGCCCTCCCTGCTCCTTCGTCAGACCTGCGCTGTTGCGTCGAGATGTGGGTCCTGCCTCCCTGCCAGACAGGGCGGCGGCGAGCCGCATGCGTCCCAGGTCGCCTTGTTGGACGCCCTCCAAGTGCCGCGGGCTGACCATGGCGGAGGCGGTGCGCAACGAGCGGCCCAGCCCTCGGCTCCAGTCTTGACGGTCGCAGCCTTTAGCCTTTGACGTCGACCTGGCGGCCACGCATCTGGACCTGTTGTCCGCGTGGATGGCTTGACAGCTGCCGGCCAGCACATGTTTCTGATGCAGCTTTTCCGGTTACAAGCGTGCCGTCGCAAGAACTAAGTCCTGTGCCGGGGCGCGCCGACGGCACTGCATGGCAGCCGCTTCTGGCTTCAAGCCGGGTGCGTGAAAGGTAGGTGGCAGCAGTAGCAGTAGCAGT